AGTCACTGTAGCTCCGCTTGAGGAGCTTTCCTGCCTTAAGTAGAGTTGTCTCAATGCACGAGGCTGCACGTTTATCTTTACATTTATCAAGTAGCTTTTCCTATGGTTTTGCTTCCGTTCTGAATTTCTTTAAACAAATGGCATGACGCTTACGGGAGTGTTTCCTCCGTCTAGACTCGCGTATGTGTGAGAGCACACATGGGACTGCGCCCTCGTCCTCCAGAGGAGTTGCTCAGCTCCCAGGCTGGGTGTTATGCTGCCTTGCTGCCTCGCTTGTACAGCGAAAGGGGGTGCAGTCCAGCTAACGCGCCCATCGTAACGCTGCCTGTAACCCCTGCTCGGCAGCCTGTGCTTTGCGCGGGTCGCAGCTGCTGTAGCAAACCCTGAGGCCCAAACGAGAGTCAGCAGCCTGGGGCGGAGAAGGCGCACAGGTAACGCCATGGGCTGGGAGGCAGATGAAGAGTTAATTCTGCTGAATCCAATCTTGGCACTGTCTGCGCCCTGCTTGGACTGTGCCTGTAAAGGAAAGACTGGACAAGCGTTGCTGCAGCAGTGATGCTTTTCCGTGTCGAAGAGCAGTGCCCAACGGCGATTATGTCCGGTTGCTGTTCGTTGGATTCGCAGCATCTTGTAGCCCAAGTGACAAAGGTTGAATAGTTGTAACAATTAACGTTTTACTGTCGCTAGCGAGGGTGCACCAGAAAGCCCGTAAGGTGTGTCAGGGAGGACAAACGGGCAGGAGGGAACCCCAGCATACACATTCCACCAATAACCAGGCTAGCAACGCCAGAAATTCAGTGTTAGCCAGGTGCCCACTGTCACGGACACGCTAATTTCTTGCTCTGAATCCCCGCTCCTTTTGAGCGGTGCCGTTCAGATGGAACCCACGGGCAGGACGCTGCTGCCGGAGAGGGTCGGCTAGTGGGCCCGCCTGTCCTCCAGCCGCGTTGCGCAGCGTGGTGGGGTGTGAGCAAACGGCGTCCGCACCCGGGAATCGCTGTCCGTACGCGTGTGGTGCCACACAGCCCCGGGGTTTTCTCTGCGTACGAGTTAAACGGGCTCCACTGTTGCCGCTTGGGATTTCTGTCAGAAGGGGTGGGGTAATAATGTTTCCAGGCGGCGGCAGGCGCAGCCGCCCTAGGCCTGCGCG